TAAGGGGCGGACCATTTGATTTTTGGGGGGGGGGGGTGGAAGATTCAGTCAGTGCAAGAATTTTTTTTCCGCCCAGGCGAACGGGACAGATATTTTTTTCCTGTAAAAGTGCAGCGCAAGATATTTTTTTCCCAATATATTTGGCCGCAGGATATTTTTTTGCCTCATAATAACGGCTTACAGTAACTTTAGGCTTTCATATAGCTATCATTGGAGACGTAGCAGGGGTTTTCAGTCAGAGGAGGCCGAGAACTGAATCCCAAGAGGGGCCAAGGAATTTTCACTGTGCTTTATTTTATATATGGTTATGTCTTAATGTTCCCCACACTAAAGCTATTTCCTGCGTTTTCAGCCATGGATAATTATCTTAAGCCCAGATTTTCTCAGGGGGGGGCAACAATTTTGCCAGGGAACACCACTGGCTATCGTATGTCAGAGGCTCCAAAGGTGGTAGAATCCCTGTGATGTTATCCACTGTTCACCCCGTGGTCTTTTAAGCAAATGTGCCTGCTCAAAAATGCAAAATCTTGCAAGCCTGTGGACACAATACTGAAGTGAAGAGCATCAGTAGAGTTACATGTAGAAAATTTTTTTTTGAGCGCTCTCTTTTGCATGATATTTTTTTTTCTCGATTGTGTGCTGCATGATTTTTTTTTCTTTCTCCTTGGGTTGCAGGAATTTTTTTTTCGAAATCTTCCACCCCCCCCCCCCTCAAAAGTCAAATGGTCCGCCCCTTATAAATAGTCTATTAAAAATGGTCATAATAAAGCTGGTTTACAGCAGCAAAAATTACAATAAATACACTTTTAATGCTTTTAAATCATAAATAATCATATTATGATTTAATTTAGCTTTTGATATCATATAAAGGAAAATAAACCGGCCGAAAATACAAAATAACAACATCTCGCGTATCGACATTTTTCACAGTGATTTGTATGCATTAATCGACACTTAGTCTCTGGCACGCAAATTTACTTTCGTATAGTGAGCACATAGTTGTGTGCACGGTAGATGGAAATTCCGAAAATACCCTTCGATTCTGCATGAAATTCTGTATCAACAGCCCTAGTTTTCCTTTTTCATTCAAAAACTGAACCGAGATATTCGCCCTTTAATACTCTAAAACTCGAGTTTTTGCAAGGGTTTTTGCCCTACTATAGGAATTTGTGTACAGAGTAGATGGAAAATCGGAGAACACCATTGAATTCGCCATAAAAATCAGCATCTTTTCATAGTAAATATCTCTAGTCAATTTAATAAAGAAAACTTTTTATCGCGTGTTTACTTCCCAGCTGATTACAGAAATAAACTACGGATGTAGACAAGGGATACAGCAGCACTTAAATGGATAACCATTTTACTAATTCATCATTATCATAAGATAACCACGGATGTCCCCAGTTAATAATGATTCAAGATGGCGTCGGGCAAATGTGCATTCCTCGATTTAGCCGCATGTATGCCACTATACAGAGGCCATTATGCGCACATGTAACGTGTTTACAAATTGTCATTGTCCATGGTGGTGTTCGCGAGGTTCAACCGGGATATTCGGAAAGTCAAAATCGCGATCTGGAGTATGTTATTTTTTTAAATTTCTGTGACGTCAAAATACGTCATAAATCTGATCATCCGTACATTCGTACATGCAAATAAAATCGAGTTGTCGCTCGGCTATACATAACTCGGCCAACCGGAAACGGACTGGTGCGAGAAAAACACATCGTCAAGAATAGGTGGCTGCCTACGGCAGCAATTATAGGCCTTATATATAGGGAGCTTCCCAGCGGGCAAATGACGTTCCAGACGTTGGATAGACGTTGAAAAAGGATTGACTATGCAAATTGGATCGACGTTACTGTTTCGACGTTGAAACAACGTTGAAATTAGGTTGCCAATCTCGTCCACCATAATTCAACGTTGAATCCACGTTAAAACAACGTTGAGATTGGTTCACAAATCGACGTCGTACATTTAACCATGAATGAACGTTAATTCAACGTCTGTTGGCTGCTGTTGAACCAATGTTTGTAAAACAACGTCAAAGCAACGTAGATATTAGGGACCGTTCATTATTTATACCAGGGGTTGGTACCGAAGAGATATGGGTTGGGTAATCAAGTTTTTGACTAGCTCATAGGTTGGGTAAAAAGGTTTATGGCTGTCTGTCAGCTACAAAAAATAAAATAAAACCAAAATTACCATGCATTGGAAAATATCAAGAAAAATCTGCAAAAAAATAGACCATGCATCAGTGATTGAGGAAGGACTATCATTGATCAGCAGGAATGTGATTGCTTTGGCACACTCAGTGAGTTTGAGTGAGACGGTGAGCTGTCACATTGTGTGTTTATTTATTATGAAGTACAGTAACACATGGGTTGGGTAAACATTATTTTGACCAATGTTGAGGTTGGGTAAATAAAAAATTTACACTGTTTTTCGCTTCTCTTCGATACCAACCCCAGGTATAAATAATGAACGGTCCCTTAGGTTGTCGACGTCGCAACCTTTTTTCTACCAAATTTCAACGTTGAAACAATGTCGTGTGCCCGGTGGGTTATTATAGGAAACAACGTTTTTGTCAACACGGACGTCAGATTGCCGAAGGGCGCGACTGGATAAAAAACTGTGTTTGTGAATGGACCATTTGCATTATAGACTAAATTGTGATCTAGACAAAAATTTCATCACAGCTTGAAACAGCATAAAAAAATTAGTAATATTCCAAAGTTTCGTTGCGAAATGTGGATAATATAGCCTTGCGAAGTTTGCCGTTTTTCAGTCATTTTGTATTACGCACGGGAAATTGACAGCCCAATCGGGTGTTGGGGCATCAACTTCCGTTTGTAATACAAAATTACTGAAAATTGCAAATTTCGCAAGGCTATATTATCCGCATTTTACAACATTTCGCAACGAAACTTTGGAATATTACTAATTTTGTGATGCTCTTTCACGCTGTGATGAAATTTTTGTCTAGATCAAAATTTAGTCTATAATGCAAATGGTCCATTGTGTCAGTTTGCATGTGGTAATTTTCAACACATATACGACAAACCATAACTCGTAAGATTTTTAAAGCTTTTTTGTTTCCTTGCACGAGTGCTAGGATGCAAAATGCCGCCAAAATTACTTATACTAATGTTCGCGTGACATCCGTGTTGAGTGAAAAACGTCGATGCTTAAGCTCATTTAGAAAAAAAAAGAAAGATACTATACGAGACTTGTATTTTGCATAATTTTTAAGATAAGAGAATCTAAGGAGTACCATGATCAAAGGCATTAAAAATTAATGATGCATGGAAGCACTATAAAGAATTGTTCTTTGACCTGGAATCAGTTCGTGGGAAACGCAGTCGAAGGTCGTGTGTAACTTCATTAGCGGTGCTTTTTCGCTATTTAATTGCACTTTCTATTATTTTGGCGCCATTAGACTGACATTTTTGGCAACAACTTTTGAAATATTGGCTTCGTTTGAAGGGCGTCTTTTCTCACATAGTCAAGTGGAATTTCTGCAGCAAATACTTTAAACCTTATAATTAATCCACAATTTTGAACTTAATCAAAACATCTTTATACTACTCCTTCCATGAGAGTTAAAAATATATAAAATTCACATTGTCACGAGAACGTTTTACTGCACTATATCGCGTTTCAAAAGAGTATCAAGTGTCGGTATTCCAACACTTTTAGCTCTTTTTTATTAAAGGTAATTGAAGCCGAAACCAGAAATTCTCATATTGAGATATTTTGGACGCTCTCTCTCTTGACGTTTAAAATATTTATTTCACAAGCTTTCGACTGGCCATCTGCAGTCTTCAACGGGTTTTAAGTTTTAATGAGATGAATTACAACATATGATTACAACAGTTTTTACAATTACATTATACGGACACCAAACATAGTGCGACAGTTCCGCTTACAAATATGATTAGGTAGCATTTTAAAATTAGGAACGGGCCATTACAAAAAGGTGAAGAGGTGGGGGTTCTGCAATGCAAGGAATGTTTACATGCAGTTCACTTGATGTTTTTTTCTAGTGTTGTGATATTTATTTCTGCCACCTTCTGGCAGTACGAGCTTTTTTTCCGTAAAGGTTCTTTCCCAACGCCCACCTTCACATTTCTAATCCTTAAGACCTGATTGAAAGTTGCTTCAAACTAAACAGCAATACATTCTGAGAAATACTTTGAATTATTGTCAGCATTTTTTGTTTTAGCAATGTGCCCTGATTCCATGCAAAGTTGATCTCAGCCGAAGTCAACAAAGTCAGGTTGACAAAGGGGACGGTCAGTAGAGATAACACAAGAAATGCCGACAACAATTCAAAACGTTTCCCAGACCAATATCACTTTTACTGAAGAAGCTTTCACTACATAATTTAAAAATGCTACGTACCTATAGTCATTAATCATATTTGTAGGCGGAGCTTGTCACCTTTCCATGTCACTCCTTTGTACTATGCTCGTCTATATATAGCCGTAAACTGTTGTAATTCATCTCATTGTAACTTACCCATTGCAAACTGCAGACTGGTAGTGAAAAGCTCCGGCAAATATTTTAAACCAGAGTGCGTCCAAAATTTTAGCTCTGTTGCTGCGGTAATACGTTCAACACCTGTTTCTACGACTAAAGTGGCGGATCGTTTTCTTTTTCGAATCAGGAATCAAGAAATGGCAAAACTTTTGAGATTAGTTATTGTCACTCTACTTCTTGGCATTGTATTCAGTAAGGATTCCATTCTTTTTCCAGGTAATCTTAGACATCGTGTAATTTAATTTCTCGGAGTTTAAATAAATTTTAAAAGGCCAAAACGATTCTTTTTCAGTCCCTTCACCTCTTTGGTTTCAAGAACTAGGGGGTTTGGTTTGGTTTTTGGCCCTTTCGTTCTTTAGTTTGGGGTCGTTTTGCGACCTTTCAAGGGTCCTTTTGGCCCTTTTTAATTAACAGTATAAAGTTAGTGTATCGCCAGCTTTATGCGATTTCCGAGTTCAAGTGTCTCTGAGAGCAAGAAAAACTAGTGTATTTAATGCATTGTATTTAATTATGATGGTAGAATTTATTCAAAAAGAGTGAACAATCCTGTCCGAAATTTGTAGCACTGCACAAAAGAGAACAGTTATAGTCAGACAACACTTTTCTTTCAGGGGGTGATACAGCGTTTCAAAAATGGTTAAATGAAATATACACTAGGACCCAAATCGATCCTACGACCATGAAGCGGGTGACTGACTACGTAACAGAGCAGATCAAGTTAATAACAGATGAAGTGAAAAAGCTTGACAACTGTTTTGATTTTGTTCAACTGCCTGGCTCAGCTGCAGAAGATCTAAAGATTCTCCAGCCGGATCCATTTAAATTTGTTCTTTACAACGAAAAATGGACGAAGAATATAGACTACAACGAAGATACGAATACGCCTGGGTTTGCGTTCGCGATTGAGGAGAAAACAACCTGCCTTGACACGTACGTTAACACAAGCGAAGTATTTATTAGTAGTATTTAAAGTATAAGTTGGATCAAGTAAGTGTATAAGTTAACTATACAGTGCATGAAAAGGAGTATCCAGGTCAGTAAATAGAATCTTCTACATTTGATGAATGAGACGAAACAAGCCTCTTCATGAGGTTCTTAATAGGGTCCATTTCCAGTACCCTGAGAGCAGAGCCTGATTTCCCCTCGCGTAGAAAATAAGGCTCTGCCGTTTTTGTGTTTAATTTCTGTCGAGCATGCTCTGTTTCCAATATTATGACAAAACATGTCAAAGATCACTTGTATTTTTAGAATGACTGCTAAATTTAGAGAACCAATCGCATGCAGTTATCGCTACATGCTGGGTGCGTGCAACTGCACGTGCTGTACAATTACAACAATATAGATAATACAAAAACATTTTCAAATCGATAGCTTTGACACTTGTCAGTTGTGAAATCAAACTATATATTTTTACAATTGCTGACTTGCTTGTTTATTTTATCCTGTGTTACTTTTCAGTATATGTTAGTTTTTATCAGTCAAATTTCGGTTATAAAGTATAAAGTTTTAAATTTTGTAAATATATAGCGGGCTCAAATTGTAGTCATCGGTTTACATGCAAAACGAAGACATCAAAAAATATTTAAAACCGGTTAGAACTGGTTTATTACCGGTTTACTTCGTCCAGAATTTTGGACGAACAAAAACACGAAAATGGCAGAGCCTCATTTTCTACGCGAGGAGAAATCAGGCTCTGCTGTCAGGGTATTTTTCCAGCTAGTTGTGCAGGTGATGAAATTTTAAAGGCAGATCTATAACATAACTGTGGTGTTAAAGTTACTACATTTTAAACATTACAGTAGATTAATAATATACAAGCGATATTTAAGACTGAAAATGGTTTTAAATCTCACTTTTCAGAGTTTATTATATCATGAAACACATTTATTTGGTACTGTAGAAATCACCGTCAACTCCACCAAAAATCACCACTCTTATTTCCATTATTCCATAATTATTAAATGCGTACCAAATAAGAACCTTTTCCAAATTTCAGACTGAATTAGTGGTTCTTACGAAAAATGCATCAGTCTCTAAACGGAACATTTCTTAGGCTACAGCATTTTAATCCAAAAGGTTTACTGGAATTTCATGTAATACCTCAAATTAGAATATGAAAACGAGACGGACATCGCGGACAAACGCCAACCGCATGCGCGAGTCTACACATGTGGCGGGGAAATGTCTGCAAAAACAATAGGAGTATAAACAGAAATAAGAAAGCCAAAGGAAACGGCTAGAGGTTTAAGTTACCGCATCTTTATTGTGGCAAGACAAAGTCATATCGAGTCTAACCCCCTCGCAACTTTCTTTACCTAATTTGCTACAGCTTGCTTACTCGCCTTAAATTACAAAACATAATCCCTTGAGTGTACCTTTCTTTATTTGCTTAAGATAGAACACAAAATATACGTACTGGTACAAAAATGATTGAATGGGTAGTTGTATTGTGACTTTAAGTGAACAGAAATGATGGCGTATATGGTTGAATACTTTGATATGCATATTTTATAAATCTTCCAGTCTCAGCGGATTCAACTGCAATTTATCCCTATGCAAAACGCGTCATTTGGATGAGCAATCGACACTCCAAATTGGTGTATCCCTTCTATAGGCCAAATTCAACGTTTTGATTTCATGCTCATGAATCATTAATTTGATCCGGTCCTCGGACTGAATTAATTTTAATCTAGTCCTAGAGGACTGTGTCATTACGCTTTAAATTAATAGGTATATCCAGGATCATTGTATGGGCAAAATGGAGAAGGTTGGAGGGAGGCGAAAGAAAAAGAACTTTTCCCTACCTTCTACCCCCCCCCCCCCCACACCGGCTAGCTAAATAAAGCAATATGGTTAGCTGATTTACTTAAGAATTATTAATTATTTTCAAGTTGAAGTAATTTGCATAATTGCCTAATTTACATACAAGCTATTTGGAATGAAGTGAGTCCATATACCAAGCAAGCTGAAATTTTTCCTTGACCGCGATGGGAACTGAATCGGCGATATTAGGCCCTGCCGTGATCAAGGAAAATTTTCAACCTTGCTCGGTGTGGACACACTCAGAGTAGCTTCATCTCAAATATATACATCATGTCTTAACAGGTATAAACTCAAAGACCCCCAAAATGGAATCGATCCAGCCAAAGTGAGAGCTCATATGCTAGAGATCGTGACAAAAGCTTTGGGGATAGTAGGAATTAAAACAAAGGATACGCCGGTCGGTCCGTCTATTAATTTCCAAATACCATCCAAAGAAAATTCGTTCGAGTATATCGACATCGATTTGGTCTTATACATCAAGCAGAATGATTGGCCAAAGAGTGCTGATCCAAAAATAGACCCCACATTGAAGGCAGTGGGTGTTGGACTTGTCGCAAACGTACTCGAACCACCTCAAGATAGCAGACTTTGGCAAATTTCATTCTCCGCTGCGGAAATAAAGCTTTTCGAAGGCATCGACGCAGATGGAGGATCCCGAAAGAAACTGTTGAAAATCGCGAAGTACTTGAAGATAGCTAGCAAGTGGCCTGAAACCATCTCCTCGTATCACTTGAAAACCGAAATAATGAAGATGAACCGCGACCATCCAAGCAAAGATGACTGGACCGACTCCAAACTCGTTCCTCGCTTTAACGAATTGATCTTAAATTTCCTTAAAGCACTTGAAGCAGGCAAATTACCAAGTTTTTTCATTCCTACCTTCAACCTGTTCCAAGGTACAGATCTCGGTACGGCCATCGAAAGAGTGGAGAGTTTGATCAGTGCAATCGAGACCAACCCTGATTCATGTTTCCCACCATCAAGCGCGCCCTGTGCTCCCTCCGATGGTCTGTCTTAGAAATTACCTTTGATTACTAAACTAAAGAAGTTATCTTCTTTTTTTTAAACCAACGAGCGAGAATGAAATTGAGATTGTACCGTTCAAAGAGAACATTTTGTGATATTATTGCAAATGATTATTCAAAGAAATAAATGTTTGTCCCTGCTTTAGTCTGTGTAATTTTATAATAATATATATAATAATAATATTGTCCTATCCATATACAGAACAAAATCCCTATTCGTAAGTCCATATCTATTCGTGTGGCAATATCGTCACTGTAAATACCAGAGTCTTTCCAATTCCTTCAAGAAAAAGGCATGTTCATATAGGTACGAGGTTTTTGTATATCTATAACACAAATTTTGAAAAACCGAACACGAATCAAATCGTTTAAGGTGGCTCGCTACAGCTCTCAACACACTTAAGGCAGGGCAATATGATCATTTCCAGGAATGTGAATTCATAAGCTAGCCTTGTGCAGTCAATACATTAACAAATAGAAACAGTGTTGCCTTGTAACCATATCGTTTAACTTCTTTTCACGTTTATTGTCTAATTTCCCAATCAAACGACAATATCTTTTTTTGCTTCGGTAAATTTTACTAATTTTTTTTGAAGATTTATGGTCGAGCGTGGTTTGCTGATAAATTTCTAAATTGAAAGGCCGCTAGTTGTCATTATGTTCAAAATCTGACAGATTACTTCTGGCCTGGTACATGGTTATTCGTGTCATATATCCGCGAGAGCTGATGCACTAGCTTGCAGGGGTTGGTTATGTGATGATGTGATTGTTATTTCCACAATCCGCAGCAAAAAATGCTAATGAGCACACAGCTTTAATCTGATAGTGAGAATCAGAAATGTGAGGCAGAAATGTGAGGTTGGAAATTGGAATTATTTTCTAGTTGAGTCGCTTTTTCTTTGATGTACCGCAGGATGTATATAGGTCGACAAAACTCGAAAAATCTTGATGGAATTGATGAAATCAATTCTCATCAACGTTCTCATCAACAATACGTTTTACTCTAAAACAAACGCAACTATGAATTCCCTTAAAGTTACTTCACACGATGAACGTGCGTTTTAGTCTATTGGACATTGCGCAAAGAATTTTACGTGTAACTTTACCAAATTTTCAGTGACGAAAGCCAAGAAAATGCTGATTGCAAAAATTTTCATTTGATGGGTGCTCTGTTTAAACATTTTCAGCATCGGCTGACTAAAGAAATATATAGGTATCCCATAAAAAAATCAAAATATGTTGATAGTTTACCTCAACGTCTGTCTATATATCGCAATTCGAATCTTGATAGGCACGGTAAAAAAAAGTGTGCGGAAAATTTCTCTGCTTTAGTGTTTTTTCTGATGCCCTGGATTTGTCACTGATAATTCACGAAGTTGTCAAAGAAAACGTCATATCAGAAAAACCATTGAAGAAGAGAAATCATATGTACTAACTCGTGGAAAAAGCTTTGAAAAAACTAGTTATTAAATCAGAGATTAAGAAGTCTGGTCCAGCAATTAATTTTCAAACTCCATCCAAAGAAAGATCGTTCCCTGAAATAGACATGGTGTTGTACCGTAGCAAAAGGAGGTGTTGTACCGTAGCAATAGGAGGTGTTGTACCTCCAACAAAGTACTTGGCCGGCTAGTGCAAAAAAATTAGATCCCCCTTCACTTATGGACCCAGGTGTCAGCCTTGTAGCAAAAGTACTCGAAGCGTCTGAGAATACAAAAGTTTGGCAGATTACATTCTCCTCCTCAGAAATATTGATTTTCAAAGACATCGATGCAGATGGTGGACGTCAAAAGAAACTTTTGAAAATCGCAAAATACCTGAAAACAAAGAGCGACTTGCCGGACACCGTTGCTTCTTATCACTTGAAGACCTTGCTCTTGGAGATGAATGAAAGGCGAAAAGACCCAGCAGATTGGACCGAGGACAAGCTGGTTCCTCAATTTAAAGAATTGATGAATGGTTTCCTTGCCGCACTGAAAGCAGGCATATTAAAAAGCTTCTTTATTACAAAGTTTAACTTATTCCGAGGTAAACTATTATCTATTTAACCATTAAACTGCAATGCACCCAATGCACCTGACTTGATACAATATTTTACCTTGTCCATGCAACGCCAGACGATTATACTCGTCAAAGAGAAAGAATCAGTCTTGCGCATTTTAATGGATTTAAAAATTAAAATTGGTTAACCAAACCATCTATATGCATGATGATCATTCTGTAATAGGATCGAAATATAACCACTCAAAATTTACGTTTTAGTCCACATCTTGGGTTTTCAAGATATTTTCATTTTTCGGATTTTGTTTTGTATTTTATATTCTGGCATGTCACGCTATATTGAAACCGCAACCTATTGACGTGTTTCTAGAAATAGAATGGCACTGAAGTAAATCTTTTGTAAATATTTCAAGGTAAAAATCTCGCGGAAGCCATCACGAAAGTGTCGAAACGATCTGGAGTGACCCTAATTCACTCCTCGCAATCGAGGTCTGTAACCCGTCGACTTTCGCAAGCAGAAACCCGCTGAAGAAATTACTAAAGAAAAAGTTAATGCGTGGACGTATTTAAGTGAAAACAGGATTTAAACTTTGGCCAGTGTAATAAAAGAAGATAATATAAATACATGTATTACATCATTGTAATTCAATTTGTGTGATCGATGATTCTATATAGTCGTGCACTGCAAACCTAGGCCAGGCCTCGTTTTGGCGGCATGTTTCTGTAACTGAATTCATCAAATCAAACTAATTTGATTATTTTTCATTAATTAAATTGATCTTCGTTGGCAAAAAATCATTCATTGGCAAAAAATGCATGGCGTCGATAATTTCATCTTCGAGGGATTATCCTCGGCAATTCCTTTTGATGACCGCTTGCGGTCTCGGATGAGATCTAAAAAAATGTGCACCTGTAAAGATTAACCATAGTGTATTACAAAATTGTCTTTGTTAGATGTCAACACAAGAAGAAAGAGAAGATAGGCCGCCCTTTTCTTTAAAAATCTCTTTAAGTACTAATAAAAATACTTTTAATCCAATTGTCATAATTTGGACAAGTGCGAATATTGGTTGACCACCTTAATTAAGTGATTTTAGAAGGCAAATATTTGGTTAATTTGATGAGTCAAATATCAATGTTTTGCCATGATATGTTAGTCCTTCTATTCCATTCCATAAAAATATAATAATACCACAAAATATACCTAGTTGGGTGCATTTCTCTTGGGACACCCTGTATATCCAGGCATGGTTCGTAATCGCCAACACCAAAGAACCCAAGATATTTTTCTGCCTATTTTCAAAGACCTTCGAGAGCAACAGCTGTTGAAAAATTGGGATTGTAGATAAGCGCCATTTTTGCCGAGTATATAATCAAATCATATCCTATAACACGGCGCCTTAATTCTCTTCGATATTTGTGAAACTATCAGTTTCTGCAATCCATCTATTTCATTAGGTAGGGATCGTATAAATTAAATACTTCATAACGGATTTAAGGACTTTCTAACATTTCATACGCTTTTTCGTACAATTCAAAGGCTATAAAAGACATATACATTCAATCAACGACTTTCAAGGATTTCAAAGACCGCTACGAAATATCCTGCCATGCAAGTTCTGGGATTTCTTGCAACATTTTCAGCGTCGACTTTACAGGACATATTGCATGCATGATTTTAGGAACATACAGGGCATGTATATAAGAGAGGTAATCCACTTTTAGCATACTATTGTGCGTTAATTACTGGGTGGATGACACGTTTTTCATCCAATTAATGTGGAAAAAAAAGAGCAAATACGAGTCCGATAAAAATTGTTTGTTGAAATTGCATATTTTCACCATTGAGAATTGGGTCTAAAACTTTTGAAAATTCACTCCCTTTAGGACTTAAGTTGATGAATTTCACTTCAATAAAATATCTGCGTATATGCATAATTATTATAAACATTGTAAAACGTGTCATTCAACAGCTATAAAAGCCTGATCGTTGTATGATTATAAAAAATACATTTATACATGCACCGAGTAATTAACGCACAATGACATGCTGCCTGAGTTGGATTACCTTTTTTTTTATGTAGGCCTATACCCTGTAAAAATTGGATAATTTTCGAATATTGGATGATATTGAGAATAATCCGATATTGGACTTATTCGTGCATTTTGTGGCATTTTATGGGCGGGATTTTCGGATTTTATAAATTCTTGATAGGATTTCGGGATTTTTTCCGATTTCTAAAGAAGTGTATATGCGAGGATTTTTAGAGTAATACATCCCTGCATTTCAACTTTGCCTCACAATAGAACAAGCTAGCACCTAGGCTAATTGGAGCAGGATATGTACAACTTGAAAATATACAAAAAGAACGTCGACGTATACGTCAAAGCTCTTTTTACATATATTTTACTGTATGAAGATTGCTGCTTATATAAATAAAGACGCTCTTTCAAAGCGCGATATAGCTAGCATATAGTAATGACGCTTACATGATGAAGTGAAATTTCTATATTTGAGATGCTCAAATAATTGGCAATTAAGTTTATACGTTCAAAATGTTCACCAATTTACACATCGTATTAGTTGCTGGCTATATTATATATCACAAATTTGCCGAATTAACTCATAGAGTTCAAGTATAACTGTTTATAAACTTAAATTGTCCATCTTTAAAGAAAAAAAATAGGTTAAAGTTGTCTTATATTTTATGCTACTTATATATATATATATATATATATATATATATATATATATAAAAATATATATATATATATATATATATATATCTATATATATCTGTATTTCAAACTATTTACAGAAAATGGGTGATTTTCCAATAGGCCGTATATACACTATATATATAAAGGTTAAATTCAAGCTAAAATATACGATATACAACTATACATTTACATATATTTGATTTTAGTTTTAAAGCCAGAGATTTGGTAGCATTTTATATGTTTATATAAGTTTGCATTCTAGTCTGTATAGATTATGATCAAAATGTCTAATTATGATCAAAGTGTCATAATTTTCACGCGTTATTATGCGAAATGCTCTGTTCTGAAGCTTATTGAGTTTACAGTCGATAATTTTTTTAGACAGCAACAAAAATCAAGCTTTTATCTGTCCAATGTACCTTTTTTATCATTAGAAAGAAAAGTGAACGGATACGAATCGAACAAAATTGCCGTCGAAAACGAATTTTTCCACCATTGTGAATTAATTAATCATCATCCGGTTGACAGTTGATCCATCTCAGTATAAATATATAAGATGAGCTATCCAGACGAACTAGCTGGAATAGCGCGATCTATATACTGGTAAAAGTACTGGGAACAAAGTATACATGGTTGCCAAAATCCGCATAATACAAGCAGGGCCTTATTTAGGGATTTTTCCGTGGGGGGGGGGAATTTTTGAAAAGGGACCTTTCTGTGAGTAGGCTATATTACAAGGGGATAGCCATGGCCGAAGGCCACGTGCGTGGCCAACATAACTCCCCCAGAAAATCTTTGAAATTTGAAGCCCGGAAAGGTCGTTTCCTGCATTCTGAGCATCCAAATTTGCTCAAAATTTATACTAACTATATACTTGTATTTAAAATAAAAGATGGAAAAACGCACAACAAAATTATTAACAATATTTATCATTACTTAGTGTTAATAAACCTAACAATTTATGTCCAGTTAAGTTGATTTTGTTAAACAAGGACAAAGGTTGAAGCCTAAAACTTACTTTCCGTTTATTTATTTGTTATTCTTCGCTTGTTTGTTTGTATAAATGTAGGAAAAAGGGACTTTTGCTGGAGGGAGGCCCTGAATACAAGTAACGAAGTATCGGTTTTTCCCGACAGTTCGTCTTTTTAAGATTTCTTTAACGCAAAATTGCATATTCAATATCACGTGACCATAAACAGCCAATTAAACGATCAGAATTCAATAAGGTATTATATAATACATTATTAACTGTGTTTATCCTAACGCATGCACCCTGTCAAGCCGGGAGAAAACCCACGACTTTCGGTAGAGCGTTGACTGTCTATTTTTACATGAGTAGGCAACGAGAGAATCGAACCCACGGCCACGATCTCATACGTGAAAGATATGCCTTATTTATACACCGGCCTATATAGGTTGGGCCGGAGTTAAACCGCGCTGTTTTGTAGGTGCATGGGTTTGTTTTAAAAATAAGAGAATACTAGAACTTTTATTAATTTTTCTTCTAAAATTTTCACCTTTCTTCATATTATTTAATTTAGATTATTCTAAAAATTCTAGGACTATACAAAGGTGCATTAAAAAATTCTTAATATTTGCAACGTTTCGGACAGTTTTACTGCCCGTCTTCAGCCAGTTTAGGCTTGTATAGTAGTTATCTAACATACGGATTACGGCCCTCGTAATATTACAATATTCAAACATATAACAGGGTAAAATTACTATATTATATATACATATAAGAGACAACATTACAATTAGGCCTTATATATATATGGAGCTCATTATAGGAAAGCAACGTTTTTGTGACTTTGTCAACACGGATTGCCGAAGGGTGGACTGGAAAAAACAACTGTGTTTGTGAATTGTGTCAGTTTGCATGTGGTAATTGGGGAGGGAGATGGATTTTAATAAATGTTTGCAATAATTTGGATTGTCCACTGATGATCTAAAACCACAAGTGTGAA